TTTCAGATTTAATATTTTTTTTAATTTTTGTTTTTTTGATGAGGCAATCGGGGTTAAGTGACTTGCCCAGGGTCATATAGCTAGTGCATTTCAAGCCTTTGTAGTATCATTTGTATCTGAACCTGCCTCCACTCCCACTGCATCCGCCCTATTCCCTTATCTCATGTTTTCCTGCAAAATCTACTGTAATCATTTCCTCATTGGTCCTCTCTCTCTGGTCTGTACCTTCTTTAATTCACCCTCCCCAGCACAACCTGAGAAATATTCTGAATGTACTATTCTGATCATTCCTTTCCACACTCAGCCTCCTTCACTAGTTTCTCCATTACCTACAGAATAAAATATAAAATTCTGACCCTGTACAAGGCCCTCCCCAGTTTGTTCATACCCATCATTGTTTTTATATTATGCGGCCTCCTCTTCACTAGTGTTGCGGGCAAATTCATTGAACTATTTTTTCTTTTGTTTTGTTTTTTTTGGCTAGGCAATGGGGTTAAGTGACTTGCCCAGGGTCACACAGCTAGTAAATGTTATGTGTGTGAGGTCGTATTTGAACTCAAGTCCTCCTGAATTCAGGGTCGGTGCTTTATCCACTGCGCCACCTAGTGTCCCCTCATTGAACTATTTTTCATCCCTCATTCTTCAGGTCATATATCTAGAGTTGAAAAGAACCTAAGAGGCTGTCTAGTTCAATTCTCCCATTTTACAGACGGCAAAACTGAGGCCCAGGGAGGTTGTGACTTGGCCACAGTCACATGGGTAGGGATTTGAATCCAAATTCTCCAAAGACTGTTCTTTCCACTGTACCAGGCTGTCTTGTCCTAATTCCTATCTCTAATGCCTTTGCTTATGTTCTTTCCTATACTTGAAATAAATACTCCTTTCCCCACTTTTTGGAAGATGTTTGAAAAGCAAAGATCTGACTGGTTTACTAATGCTACCCTTCTTTGAAAAATTCAGTCCTGCAATTTGGGACCATGGGTAAACATTCCTAGAATTTTTTAAAAAATATTTTCATTCATAATGATGATAGCTGACATTCGTATGCCTCCTTAAGTATTTCACATACATTATCTCATTTGAATCTTAAAACAACCTTCATGGCAAGTGCTGCAGGTAATATCGTCTCCATTTTACAAATGAGGAAGTTGACTCAAGAAAGTGATATGATTGGTGCATGGTCATAGACCTAATAAGGATTAGAAACCTAGATCTTTGTGATTCCAAGTCCAGAGCCCATTCTTTTGTTTTGGTTTTGGTTTTGGTTTTTGGCTAGGCAGTAGGGTTAAGTGACTTGCCCAGGGTCACACAGCTAGTAAATATTTCGTGTCTGAGGCTGGATTTGAACTCAGGTCCTCCTGAATCCAGGGCCGGTGCTCTATCCACTGCGCCACCTAGCTGCCCCCAGAGCCCATTCTTGCTGTACCAAACTGCGTCTTATGCAAAGCTTGGAAGATCCAGTAGGATACCCACTGTATCTCATTTTCCAATCCATTAACAAGCATTTATTAAGTACCTACTGTATGCCAGTCTCTGTGCTGAGGCTGGGAATATAAAAATATAAGTGATATAGTCTATGCCTTCATGGGGCTTCCTACATTCTAGTAGGAGAGACAGCATGGACTTTTATAGGTCTATGCAAGATACCTACAGAGTGGTGCTTTAGAAGGGAAGATACTAGATCTAGGGGGACCAGGATAGGCCTCCAGTAGAAGAAATGATTGAGTTAATTCTTGAAGAAAACTAGGGATTCTAAGAAGTGGAGATGAGGAAGGAGAGCATTTCAGCTTAGGGGACAGCCAGGGCAAAGGACTGGAGAGATAGCAAGAGAAGGAGAGGAGCGCTGGAATGTCATATCCAAGGAAGAGAAAGGACATTAGCATCATTGGACTGTAAAGCAGTGGGGACAAATCCTGATGCTAGAAATGGGAGCTATGGTGTCTTCAAATTGACCATGAGCTCTCTTTCATCTGGTAACATCTCCCTCTGCTGCTGCCTTGGGGGGCATAGGTCTATGCCTCCAAAGACTTTTTTTTTTCACTTTTTAAAAATTGTATTAATTTATTTTGATTTGTCAACAATCACTTCCATGTGCTTTTGAGTTTAAAATTTTTCTCCCCCTTCCTCCCTACCACCCTCCCCAAGATGGCACATAATCTGATATAGGTTATACATTTACATTCCTATTAAACGTGTTTTCACATTAGTGAAGTTGCAAGTAAAAATTAAAACCAATAGGAGGAACCATCAGAAAGGGGAAACAAAACCCAACAGAAGAGAAAAAAATGATCCCATTCACATTCACAGTTATGATTACTGTGTCTTTTTCTCCATCCCTTTTTCCCCGTTTATGCTATTCTTTCTCCTTTCTCCTTCCCCCCAACTAGTCTTTTGCTTTTGCCGCCTCCTTCACTCCCTCCTCCCTTCTATTATCCTTTTCCCTTTTCTTCCCCTAAAGGGGGAAGAAAACTTCCCCCTTACTGCTTCTTCCCTACCTTCTATCCCCCCTCCTTTTCTTTCTCCTTTTCCCTCCTATTGCCTATAGGGCAAGTTAGATTTCTATACCTAACTCATTATGTTATTCCCTTCTTGAGCCAAATCTGATGAGAGTAAGGTTCAAACAATGCTCACCCCCCCCCCTTCTTTCCCTTTTGTGTCTTTTCCTGTAATGTAATTTACCCTTGTCTTCCTCCTCCTTTCTCAGGACATTTTCTAAGATCAGACTAATCCACTTACTTGGATCCATTATTTTATTAGATTTTTTTTTTATCATTACATCAAAGTCAACTAATATCCACCCCCTTTATGTATGCTCCTTTAACATGGTGTAATAACACTACAGTTCTCAAGAGTTGCAAGTGTCATCTTCTTTTGTAGGGATGTAAACAGTCCGCCCTTATTAACAACATATTGTATCTTTCTGTCCCATTTACCTTTTAATGTCTTTCTTGAATCTTGTACTTGAAGATCAAATTTTTTGTTGAATATCCATCTCCTCCCTTGAAAAATCATGCTCATTTTTGCTGGGTAGTTGATCCTTGGCTGCATTCCAAGCTCCTTTGCCTTATGGAATATCATGTTCCACACCCTGCAGTCTTTTAATGTAGAAGCTGCAAGGTCCTGTGTAATCCTGACTGTGGTTCCATGATATTTAAATTGTTTCTTTCTGGCTGCTTGCAGCACCTTCTCTTTCATCTGGTAATTTTGGAATTTTGCCATTATATTCCTTGGCGTTTTCAATTTGGGATCTCTTTCAAGTGGTGAGCGGTGTATTCTTTCTATGGTTATTTTACCTTCTGGATCTAGGACTTCAGGGCAGTTTTCCTTTATGATTTCCTGAAAGATACTGTCCAGGCTCTTTTTTTCATCATGATTTTCAGGTAGTCCAATAATTTTTAAATTGTCTCTCCTAAATCAGTTTTCCAGGTCGGTTGTTTTACCAATGAGATATTTTACATTTTCATCTATTTTTTCATTTTTTTGTTTCTGTTTGACTGATTCTTGCTCTCTCATAGAGTCATTAGTTTCCATTTGTCCAATTCTAGTTTTTAACAGATTGTTTTCTTCTGTTAGTTTTTGTACTTCCTTCTTCAATTGGCCAATTGTATTTTTAAGGGATTTGTTTTCTTCAGTGTACTTTTTTTCCAATTGGCCAATTGTATTTTTAAGGACTCTTCTACCTCTCTCGTTAGACTTTTAAAATCCTTCTTGAGCTTTTCTAAGAAGGCTTTTTGGGCTTCAGACCAGTTCATATTCCCTTTTGACGTTGCAGATGTGGGTTTGTTGACAATGTTGTCCTCTTCAGAATTTCTGTCTTGATCTTCACTCTTCTCATAATATGAATTTATGGTATGTTTCTGTTTACTCATGATGTTTCTTTATTCCCTGGCCTTTAAAGAGATTGAGCTCTCCTGCTTGGGAACAGAGAGCACTAACCCCAGCTTCTTGTGTTGGGAGCCTAGGTCTTGGTCACTGGCTTTGTGTGCTGGGGCCTTTTGTGTTGGCAATTGGAGACTGTAGGGTTCTGGCAGCTTACCTCATGTTGGGCTGGAATCAGCAAGGCTGGAACTTTCAGGAAATTCTAGGTTGCCTGCTTTTACTTTCTTTAGCTCCTTTTAGATGGGTGCTGCAGGGTGTTTATCTGTCTGAGGCCCCTTAGAGTGCTGCCTCCCTCTTTTCTGCTAATGCACTGGGAGATTCCTTTTCAGTAGAAAGCCAAGGCACCTGGTGGTTTTCTGAGCTGGTTTCCATCGGTTCCCCCACCCTCACTGAGGCACTGGGAGGTCCAGGTGTTGGTGTTTGCCTGCTCTACCACCTGGGCTTCAGGATCTCCTCCTGGTTGACATTTGGAGGCTGTAGGGTTCTGACAGCTTACCTGGTGTTGGGTTGGAATCAGCAAGGCTGGGACTTTAGGAAGACTCTAGGTTGCTTTCTTCAGCTCCTTTCAGGTGAGTGCTACAGGGTGCTTATCTGCCTGGGGCCCTTTGTAATGCTACATCCCTTATTTTTGCTGAGGCACTGGGAGACCCGTTTGCTGGGCTGCTGCACTGCTGCTCCCGTCTGTCTTCTAGTTCAGCTATTCCAGGGTTTTTTGGGGGTTGATATTTTCTGGGTTTTCAGAGGGTGAGAGTGACTACCTTTTTACTCTGCCATCTTGGCTCCTGGAAGCGGAAGTCTCCCCTCCAAAGACTTTGAAGGCAGGTGTTCTAGAGGCTGCATTTCAAATCTGCTGAAATATGGGTTTTAGCACATTGGAAAGGTTTAGGGACCAGTAATGATACTCATGAAAAGACCTGTTTCTCCTAACTGCCGCTTTAAGGCAAACAAATAAAATTTGCTGAGGTTATGTGAAGTTGGATTTTTTAAATTGTTCTTATGTTTTGGAGGACTTTACTTTAGAAAGTAGTAGATTAAAGCATTCATAGTTCAGTTATATAAGGTTGTGAGGGTGTTTTTCTTTTTGAGTATTCTGTGATGATTTTTGCTTTTATTTATTCCAGGTGATTTCAGATATGATGGATCTGCTTTTCAGAATAAGAGGAGGCCTTGATCTAGCATTTCAGCTAGCTTCTACTGATGGTATGTCTATAAAAAAAAAACCCACCACATTATGATTAGGAAAAAGGTGATAAAACACTCCTGACAGAACCTTTCTTGCTCCTCAGTATCACTACCCCCATGAGTATCCTACTCTTCAGTCAAGCAACAAGCATTTATTAAATGTTTTCTATTGTGTAAGGCACTCTGGAGATAGAAAGAAAAGTCCTGTCTTTATTCGTTATTGTGGTTACCCTGAATTACAGGTGCCCGTGTCATCAGTGTATAAGCTCTGGGAAGTCCTACCATCCTGAAAAGGCAGTATACTGGATGTCTTTTGTCTAAGCACACCAGCCTAACTATTTTAGGGAGAGTCATCATCAGAAGTCTGGTTACTAGCTGATTGTTTTTTGTTTTTATTTTTTTCTTTAAACCACAGCAACTCTTGAAAACCATCTACTAAAATGTGAAGGAGTTGTATTGGTAGAGGCAACATCCATATAGATGCAATCACAGATCCTTAAAATATTTAAGTATTGCAAACATTTGGATTTTCTCTAATATGTGAGAAGCTCTCTTTGGTTCCCTGAACTCAGGTGTTTGCTCTTTTTGCCATGGAGTCAGAAAGACCTACCTTTATTTAAGTCCTACTTCAGGCACATACAATTCATGTGCCCCTGGACAAGACGCTTAACTCCTTATTGCCCCCCACTCCAGGAAACTCTCTAAGACTATAAGTTGCTGATCTACATTGGTGGAAGGAGTTTCCATACTCTGATGAAATTACATGTCTGAACCTCCCCCCAGAATATGAATATAGTCCAAGAACTATTTATTGGAAGGAGAGGATAATATAAGTATTAGCTAAAAAACAGGTGCAGTAGAGCTTAAATATGAATTTGGGAGTCTTGGGGCATGAAGGAGAGAGCGCAGAGATTGTGGAGATTGGTCAAAGGACAGAGGTTCACCTGCTGTTGGCTAAGGACAGACCACAAAGAGGGAGCCCATTGGCTGACCTCTGCCAGGACTGCACTGGAAATTACCAGGCATAGGAAGAAGATGGTAAGAAAAGGATTAAAAGTTTGTCTGCATCCAGCAGTTCTGAAAACTAGGTCTGTAACTGACCTGTGCTCTCCTCAACAGAGAAAAAGAGCCTTGATGTGCTCTCCCTTCTGGCTCCAATCCCAGCAAATGGCCTGAATTAGGATTGACCTCTGGGCCTGGTGCTTCAGAGGCTCCTGCCTCCCCTGGAAAGCTCTCTGCCTGCTCGCTGAAGTTCATGATTTCTTTATGAGGGTAAAATTCTTTCATTCCTGGGAGAGATAAAAGGCTTAAATGCAAAAGCCTTGGTAGAGCATTACTTTAGATCGTATTTTCAGAGCGTTTGACAGTTTGCAAAATGCTTATGTAAGCAAAACCTGGTGGAGTCAGTAGTGCAAGTGTTCACATCACTTGACAGATGAGGAAACTGGCTCCCAAAGTTAACTCACCCATCCAGGGTCTCCCAGCTAGTGGGTCAGAGGCAAGATTCAAATAGTCTCTGACTCCAGCTTTCAGTTCCCTTTCCAGTCTAATGAAAGATTAACCAATCAATATAGGGTGATCAATATTAAATCATGCAATGCTTCGATAGGACGAGGAGAGAATAAAGAAAAAAGCACGTAAATTTGGTACCTAAAATATCAGAAAGGTCATTGTTGAGAGAGGGGAAAGGGCCTGGAGACTCAACTTTGCAGACTTCCCTGGGACCTGACGCTTTTATTGGTAGCAACAAACCAAGCTGTTCACAAAAGTATTTCTCTCTTTGGAAAAAAGATTTTTTTTTTTTTGCTTCCTTTGCATGGGCTTTATCAGCCGAGGATCTCACCTGCCACTTTCCTGAGAAAATGGAGTCAATCATTCATCATCATCTCTCCCAGAGCCTTTCTTCATCCTTTCCCTTTCTCTCCTCCTTTGCTCAGATCTGATGAAGATGGGATGCTTCCCCTTTCTAAGGCTCTTCATCTTACTCCCATCAATCTCTTCCAAGAGACACTTTGTATTTATTTACCTGTGCATATGTTGTATCACACCAGTGGAACATATGCTCCTTGAGGTCAACAGCTCCTTCTTTCTTGTCTTTCTGTCCCTCGGACCTAGTATAGTTTCTTGTATACAGTAGGTACTTAATAAGTATTGAATTGTTGAAGTTATCACTGTAATAGTTTTCTCTCAGGGTTATAGTGATAGGAAAATCATTAGAGAATTATCTTAATAATAACAAGTAAATTCTCTTAATTCAGATATTTCTACAAAAAAGGCATTGAAATATGTATTGAGTGACCTTTCAACCAAACTTTCATCAAATGCCCTCGTGTTCAAAATTTGCCACAGTTCAGTGTACTTGTGGCCTAACAGCAACATGAACACAGTTCCAGCAGAACTGACTGACGATTCCGCTTGTAAGGAAATACTGCGCTTTATCCAGTGAGTATGCTTTAATTTTTTTATTGGTGGCTTTTGTTTTTATATCACATTCATTCCTGAATATATATATATATATCCTCCCTCCCCTACCCTGCTATCCTTCCCTTTTAGTCAAGGTGAAAAACAGACAAAAAAAGTTCAGTAAAACCAACCCTTTGACTGTATTTAACAATATATGCAGTTTTCTGCACACATAGGTCCCCAATTCTGCAGTTGAAAGAAATATGTACATGTTCTTATCTCTTCTCCAGGGATAGTCATGGTCATCATAATTACACAGTTCTCAGTTTAGTTTTATCGTTCTTTGCATTTACATTGTATGCATCATGTATATTGTTTTCCTAATTCTCTTTATTCCTAGTTGAGTCTGTTACCAGTTTATATAATTCTCTCTCTTTTTTTAAAATTTATTTATCTGTCATTCTAATGACAGACATTTCTAATGATCTAATGACAATTCATTATATTCAAGTACCACAATTTATTTAGCCATTCCACAGTCAATAAGTACCTACTTTGTTATCAGTTCTTCACTACCACAAAAAGTGTTACATTGAATGTTTTGGAAGAGATGGGGCATTTCTTTCTATTTTTTACTTTCTTAGACTATGTGGCTAGATCTGGATCGGAGTTTATAGATGTTTTAATCACTTAGTAATCATAATTCCAAATTGCTTTGCAGATTGATCAGACCAATTCACAGCTCCACCAAAAGCATATTGGCATTCTTGCCTTCCCACAACGCCTCCAGGGTTGACTATTTCCATCTCTTGTTGTAGTGTGAATTGAAATTCACCTCAGTTTTGATTGGCACTTTCCTTGTGATTAGTGATTTGGAAGCAGTCACCATGGTCTTTAGTAGTTTGCAAGCCTTCTTTTGAGGACTGGTTGTTTGTAGTCTTTGCCCATCAATCCAAAGAATGACTCCCAGTCTTACATGTTTGGGTTAGCTTCCAGTATATCTTTTGTATCAGACCCCTGTCAGAGATACTTAATGAAGTAAGCGGGTATGTTTTGAAACTCAACAGCAATAGTTTTAAGTGGTGGACGCCATAAACTTCTTTGTATATTAAAATTTTAGATTTGACCAAGAAGAGGATACGAAGCGAAAATTCACCAAAAAGAAAGATAGGAAATTACAAGGACAGGTAAGCTTGTCACCCATACTAATTGGGAGTCACACAAGTTTTTCAGTTTCTTCTGTTTGTTAGATTTCCTAAGTCACTTGCTTATTAGGGTGCTTTGTCTTATAATGTAGCATGTCCCGGGTTTCTTTACCTTTTTACATTTTGAACTTTCAGCTCACAAGAATTTGTATCAGAAGGCTAGCTCACTTTGGTTTGCTTTTGTGTTAACCCAAAGTCTTAGGTGTGACAGTGATCACCTGCAAATAGAAAAGAGATGAAAAATGAATCCTTGCTCTGAAATGTGTTTGATGGTGTGACTAAAATTGATGGTGATCATTTGTCTTTGTAGGTTCAGATAATAAATGTAGATCTCATGCTGGAAAGGTCAACTGCTCTAGCTGCTGTAGCACCCATCATTGAAAGAGAAAGTGGGGGTCACCACTATGTTAACATGACTTTGCCAGTTGATGCGGTTACATCTGCAAATCCGGAAGAATCATGGGGAATGTAAGTCTTTTTGCCTTATTTTCATAAACATGTTACCCCACCCTACTTCCTAGATTAATCACGGACTTGTATGTTTTGTTGTTTTAAAAGCAAGAATAGTGCAATAAATATTAGTTTTACCTTTGATTAGAGACTGACCCAGGAGCCTTAAAAGAAAAAAAAAATCTGTTCCTATTTTTCTCATTGATTATGTCTTTGAAATGAGGCTGTTATTGATGCTATAAAAATCTGTAGGTGATAGAAATCAGTTGACGAGGTCACATTTCATTGTATTTAGCCCACACCTTGTCTATAGCCCACGGAAGTCCAACAAATGCTTTCAGATTTGGGCTGTCAGAAATAGTGATGTTATCTAACTCTAGTTATTGTATTTCACCACATAATTGTTGCACTCTCATTTTCCAATCTAAAAATTGATTTATAACCTTTCATCACATAATATCGCATGGTATAATTCTGTTTGTCACACTGCTTAAAAGGTAAACAGAGCAACAGTGTATTCACCAGTGGCATATGAATATGCATTGATCTTGTACACATTGTGAGCCTGGAATTCTCAGTGCGGACACACTGGTCAGTATTCAATTTTAACATATATTCATGAGTATTCCTAATCTTGCACCACAGATAGTTTAGTAATAAATGACTTTTAAGTAATACTGGCACTATTTAAAAAAAAAAACAACTGCACATAATGGTCACACCACATTTTTTTTGCAAAATTTTGGCTTAAATTTTCTGTGATGGTTATGTGGCGAAGTACGGTATGTATATTTTTTAATAATGGCTACTGTACCTTTTGTTGTTATACTTAAATATTTTTTTTTATTTGACAGAGTTCGAAGTCATCTAGTAAATTCAATTCACAATCAACTAACTGATATGGAGAAATGCATTTTGAAATACATGAAAGGAACATCTATAGTAGTCCCTGAACCACTACACTTTTTGTTACCAGGAGAGAAAAATCTTGTGACGATTTCCTATCCATCAGGAGTTCCAGATGGTCAGCTACAATCTTATAGAAAGGTAAAAACCTATTAATTAGGTCTTCGGAACCAGATGCAAATAGTCCCTAATTTATTTAGGGCTGCATAGAAGTAACAAATGGAAACAATTTGCTTGTATTTACATTAATACTATTTCAAAAATTTGTCAAATAATTTAATGCATAAAACTCTGCTATTCTGATTTTCTACTAAAGTACAAATTGATGTACTAAATCTATAATGACAAATTTATTGTCATTTTACTTTTTCATATTTAATGTGATCTACACGTTATATGACATTACCAAAGCTTGTGAACTGAATGGAAAGACAGTGTCTAGTAATAACATTATCAGATGTCCTCACTCATCATATCCCTCTAGTAAGTTTCTAGTACAGAAAAAAATCAGGGAAGGCCCTAGGCAAAATTGTATCACATTTCTACTAATGCCCACTAGATAATTAGTTGATATTACCCTCCCAGAAGTATTTGCAGTTTAGTAAATAACTTATGAGTATTAACAGGATGAAGATATAATTCTATTTTTTACCAGATGGTCTTGCCTGGCTGGAACTTCCTCATGTCTTGCAACAGAAGCAGCGGCCTGTTTGTTGGCTGCCCCGGGAAAGAAGGGCTCAGCGCTGACTGTGTGCTTTTCTCCCCTTTTCAGACCTTGGCAATACAGTCTCTAACTTCTGGAGTCCACTTCCTAGGACAGGCAGTTGGGGCAGAGTTACCTTTTACATATGTGCCTATGGATGCAATTAGAAGTGCTTCAGACTTTCAAAGTGAACTATTGTGTTAACTCTCCACATGCTTTGTATACAAAAGATCCAGTGGATATACAGAAGGCAGATTTTATTCTCATGCCATAGAGTGATTGGCCTTTTGAAAATAACTTTTCCTGTGAAACTTATTATACTTCGTATTTTTATCTTTTTAAAGATTCTCAGATTAGTCCCATATACATTATTCCCATCTATCCCCACCTTTTTTTCCTTCAGTTGTGTGCCTTTCTAAGCTGAGTTTAGGAAAAAAAACATCTTGGTGTTCATCCAGCACATATTAAAAACACTTTTTTATAGAACAATAATATTCTTTTATTCACGTGACACACTTTTTTTTTAAGCATTCTTTAAACCATGAACTTTTCTAGTTCCTTGATACCACAAGAACTATTGCTATAAGTGGTGTGTGTGTATGTGCATATGTGTGTTAGACCTTGTGTCTTTGACTTCCTTGGAGCATGTGCTTTGTAGCGTATTACCAGGTTTGTGTATTTTAGTGATTTTTTGAAAACTATAATGTTTTCCAGAATTTGGACCAGAATTTAGTTCACAGTTCTACCACCGTTGTCATAATGAATTGTCATCCCACAGTTCCTCCAACAATTTTCCATTTGCATTTTTTGCCATCTTTGCCAGTCAGATGGGTATAAGATGAAGCCTCAGAGTTGTTTTAATTTGCATTTCTCTTTTTTAATGATTTGAAGTATTACTTCATATGGCTGTTGATAGTTGCTTTTCTTCTTTAGAAATATCCTTTGATCAGTTACACCAATTTTAAATTAGTAGTTTTAAAATTATCTTGAAATGCCTCCTAGTAATAACTTTTAGAAATCATCTAACTAGATAATATTTGAGTGGCTTATAAACTCTATAAGGGCATGAACCAAGTATTAATTTTACCTTGTTTCTCCTATCTGTAGCATACTTCTTTTATTCACAGTAAATATTCAGTATTTATTGGTTGTCATTGAATTTTGAACTTAAACTCTCTAAATGTTTTAAAATAAATTTCCTTTTTTACCTTTGAAAATATGCCAATAAAATATGTATTGCACAATAGCTAGTCTCTTTGTGTCAGTCATTCTAACATTTTCTCAATTTATTTGAAGCCTCTTTTTAGATTTTATGTCTATTATGTAGTTACTGTGTGGGTGCTTTTAAAGTCACATTATGATTCTTATTTAAAGCCTTTTTCATTTTTTGTTGATAAAATACTTAGGAAAATAGTGTTCGTTTTAAAAAGTTTTGTGGTTTTAAGAATGCATATTTTAAAAATCTTTCCAAATAGTGTAAAACCAAGTTTTCATATTTAGTATCATTTTTTATTTCAGTTTATTTAGTGGACTAAATTTAAAGATTTATCTCTGTTTCTTCATATTTAATCTCCTTTCATTTAGGAATTGCATGACTTGTACCACTTACCTCATGATAGACCTTACTTCAGAAGAGCTAATGCCTATCACTTTCCAGATGAACCATATAAAGATGGATATGTCAGGAATCCACATAGTCATCTAAATCCACTGGGAGCAGAGTCCGGTATGGTGAGTTAATTTATGGATATGTAATCATTATTAAAATTGTAATAATTGTTTTTTAAAAGATCATTAATAGAATGATAGCATCCTATCAGTATCTAAAACAAATCAGCCTTTGTAATTTTTTCTATCCATAAACTCTCTCCATCAGCTGGCAGTAATGTGCAAGGATCAGGTGTTTAAAAAAAAAAAAAGACAGTTTTCTCAGTCACATTCAGTTATTTGAATTCTTATCCATGTCACAATGTTTTCTGGGTTGGATGCAGAAGAAATCATAAGTCTGTGACATAACCCTGGAATATTTTTTGCTGAATGAGGAAAGTCTTAAGAGATGTTATGATACATCTTTTCTGTCATATGGTTTTTCCATAGCACTTTTCATCAGGACCGTATACTAGAACACTTGATTATTTTCCGCCTAATATTATGCTGTCATCATTTCATGTATGTATGTACGTACATACGTTCATAAGTGTATATGTCCTATGTGCCACAAGGACATTGTAAGCCTTTCTAAGGCAGTGTCTTATATTTTGTAATCAACAAAGCACTAATGCACACGGTAGGAAATTGGTAAATGCTTATTCATTGTTAACTGTAATATATTCTGTGCTTTGGAGGGGATTTTGAAGAAAAGAGAGTGATTCATTTTCAATTTCACTTCTGAAGGGAGCACGTATACATACAAACAAGCTTTTGTAAATATTAACTCCTGTTATCTATGCATCCTTTAAAATAATTCATTAAATATTAGTATCATCATAAAATATATATTGCCAAGTACTATGTATGTTTGTACTAAAAGGGACCTAGAATGTTGACAATATTGAATATTAAATAATAACACCAGCATATATGTAGGGTTATTTTGATGGGAGCTATGCAGAGCAAAGTATATATCCTTTTCATTTTTTGTTTTGTTTTTTGGTGAAGCACTTGGGGTTAAGTGACTTGCCCAGAGTCACACAACTAGTGAGTGTTATGTGTCTGAGGCTAGATTTGAACTCAGGTCCTCCTGACTCCAGGGCCAGTGCTCTATCCACTGCACCACCTAGCTTCCCAGTATATATCCTGTTTGCCACAGCTGCTTATAGTCTCAACAGATCAACACGGACATATTCTCTTTTATTTCTATAGTTCCTTTATCCTTCAAAGATGTTCAATTTCAATGTTTAAATTCTATCTGGCTTTGGATTTTATTCTATGCTACACACCATGTAATCAGATGTCAAATTAACTTTGAATATATTTGTGTTACCAGAAATTAATCAGAAATGCAAAAAGAATACAGAGTCATTTGGGCCATAATGAACTTTACCCTGTTCGGAAAATTCAATCACAATTTTAGTAGCTGTTCTTGATTTTATATTACGAACATTTTCACATGCATGAAATTGGATTAACAGGGTATCATCAAGACAGTTACCTAGGAATTCACATACTTTAGAAGCAGTGAAGATAGTGAAAGCAGTATTGAGAAGAGGGAAAAAAGCAGATCCTTGGTATTTCCTATAAAATATCCAATTGCCAAAATGTTGAAGTTCAGTAAATTATAAATGGCATGACCTGGATAGATTCACAAGAACAATTTTTATGTAGATTATAAATATAGACAAAGATGAAACATTATTAAATACCTTTTATGAGACAAATGTGGTATTGATTTTTAACACTAGGTAGAGACAACACTAAAAAAAGAAACTAATAGGCCAATTTCACCAAATATTATAAGTGCAAAATGCTAAATATAACATTTTAGCCAGTAGTTTACAGCAGTACCTTATGAAAGTTTTTCATCATAAGCAAGGTTTATGCCCAGCATGGAACTGAGGCTATCAACATACTAAAATAAAATAGAATAGAATAGAATAAAAACCCATATAATTATTACAGTGCAGAAAAAGCCCTAATAAAAATAATAAAGTACAGCCTTCATTCATGATTTTTAAAAAAACAAACTAAAAAGAATAGGTACAAAAATTTTTTTGCTTAATATAATAAAAAGCAGAATTTAAGAGCCAACATAGTATACAACCCAAAAATATTGGAAACATTTCCACTAAAAACAGGTACAGGAACAGCTAGGTGGCGCAGTGGATAGAGCATCAGCACTGGATTCAGGAGGACCTGAGTTCAAGTGTGGCCTTATACCAAAAACTTGACACTTACTAGCCATGTGACCCTGGGCAAGTCACTTAACCCCAATTGCCTTAAAAAAAAAAAACCACATACAAAGCAAGAATGCCCACTCTCACCCCTGTATTATTTTACATAGTATTGGAAATTGTACAATTGCTGTAAGACAAGAAAAGACATCAAAGCAATTAACACTAGAAAAAATTATTTGCAGATAACTTGATAATATAGCTAGTAAATCCACCTACTTCAATCAAAAAATTAATGAAGGCAATAAGTTCAGCAAATTCTCAAAATACAAGAATTACACATAAATATACCTACCTTCTTATTTATTAGTTAATAATTAAGAGAAAAAAATTTAAAACAATCCCACTTACAATTAAAACAAAAACCATAAAGTATTTGAGAATTAACCTACCTAGGCATATGTGGGACTTTTGTATAAGAATAAATATAAAACTATAAAGACTGAAATAAAGAAGGACCTATATAACTACAGGAACAGCCAATATTCACAAATGAGGATTATTTATTTAATAAAAATGACAATACTTCCAAAATTAACTTAAGTCTTCAATGCATTACGTGAATACATGAAGAATCTGATTTTGTCAGTGTGATGAATTCCTTGTGTGGAAACTTCACCAGGGCTGTTGGCAACCCATATATGACTTAGTAAATAAAAGACCTGGGGAGCTGCTTGCAACGCACAGTAGTGACTTACCTGAGGGTCACAAGACTGTTAAGTGTGAGAGACAGAATTTGTGTCCAGCACTTTGTGTTTCTAAGCTAATACCACTCAGGTTACCTAGAGATTTCTTAATGAAAATTATTAAAAAAAACAAACAAACACATGTGACTAATAATATCAAGGGAGACACAGAGAATCCTGGTGAAGGGCAGTCTTTCACTCCCTGACTTTAAAACTTATTATAAAGCAATTGCCATCAAAACTATCTGGTACTGGCCAAACAACAAACAAAAAAAAAGTAAATCGGTGGAGCGGAATAGCTACACGATGCATCCCAAAGTGTATGTGATATTGTGTCTGATTAACCTATATGAAATGAAAACTGGCGGGAGGGTTTATCATTTAATATATTTGGGAAAAGTAGTTGGCAATTTGATTAGAAAGCAGTTGAGACACATCTTATAATAGCTAAATTACAGTTGGATTAGAGACTTAAAAAGAACTGTAACTCAGATGAAAGAAAGAGTTGTTTGAATTATAAAAGATGAATAAATTTTTTTCTGTTCAACAAATAAAAGGGATTTTTAGGAACAAGATAGATGTTTTTGACGACATTAAAATTTCAAATTCTGTACAACAAAAAAGTTAGAAAAATAGATTGGAAAATATGGCAGATATGATGTTGGAAAACGTAACATCGAAAATACATAAGGTTGGGGCAGCTAGGTGGCACAGTGGATAGAGCACCAGCCCTGAAGTCAGGAGGACCTGAGTTCTAATCCAGCCTCAGACACATAACACTCATTAGCTGTGTGACTCTGGGCAAGTCATTTAACCCCAATTGCCTCACTAGATAGATAGATAGATAATACATAAGGAATTCTTAGGAAAAAAGATCACAGTAGTAGTTCCTCTACAATAGATAAATGGGTCTATTTCATTATAATTAGTTTCCTTTGTAAATCTCCGTATTTTAATTTATGCATCTAAAAACATTTATTCTAAAAAGGTTTCCATAGGCCTCGGCAAACTCCCATGACATAAAAGTTAAGGTACACTGATTCACTGATGTTGAAAGTATTATTAAAAAATGAAAGCTATCGAAAAATTTTCTAGCAGCATTATGCTGGAATAACTTGAAGGTCTAACAACAGGGGAATGATTAATTGTGGTGTATTTATATAGTGGAATTCGATAATGAAATTAAGATCCACAATTAAGAGGGAATAAAAGCTGGCAGGTGGAGCCAAGATGGCCAAGAAAAGCCAGAAAGTTGCTCTCCCAAGTTTCCCTCAGGAACAACATTAAATCAAGCCTCTAAATGGCTTCTGGAGTGACAAAACCAACGAAAACATGGAGTGAAACAATTTTCCAGTGTAAGATAACTTGGAAGGACTTCAGGAAAGGTCTGTTTCACTTGGGTAAAAGGGGAGTGCAGCCCAGCACAGATGGTGTCCAGGCAAGCCAGACAGAGGCTCTTAGCCACAGCACAGATCAGCAACAGAGGCTCCTCAGTCGTGGATCAGCAGACCAGCTGTGAGGCCTCAAGCCCCAGCACAGAAGACAAACTGCCAGCCCTGGAACCCAGGGCACAACAGGCACAATGGGACTGGGCCTTCATAGTGCAGTGGGCAAGCCGTCAGCACCAGAGGTCCCAGCACAAGAAGCTTGGGACAATGCCCCCTGCACCTAGTAGCAGAACTCAACTTAAAAAAGCACTAAACAGACTAGAAGTGAACAAAAAACAGAAAAGATCCCTGAACATGGAAAGCTACTATGGCAACAGGGAAGAGCAAAACACAAACTCTGAAGAAGACAACAATGTTAAAATGCCTGTCTGTGAAGCCTCAAAGGGGAAAATGAGTTAGTTTCAAGCCCAAAAAGTCTTCTTGGAAGAGCTCAAAAGATGTTAAAAATCAAATAAGGGAGGTAGAAAAAAAGTTGAGAAAAGAAATGAGTTATGCAAGAGAGAGTCAACAGATTAGAAAAGAAAGGACAAAAATTGACTTAAGAAGACAATTCCTTAAAAAATACAGTTGGCCAAATGAAAAAAAAATCCACTGAAGAAAACAACTCCTTAAAAAGTAGAATTGGCCAAATGGAAAAGGAACTAACTGAATAAAATAATTCCTTAAAAATTAGAATTGGGCAAGTGGAAACTAATGACTCCATGAAA